AAAAATACTTACAAGAATTCAAACAAGATTTTGATAACTTTTACCTGATATCAGCTTGATAAGTGGAGGATTCAAAAGGCAACCACCATAAAGCTCTTGGGCACAGAGCAGTCTCTTGTAGCGGTCCACCCTCACCCTGTACAGTACACTTCTTTTTCTATTCTCTACTTTTAATTGGCCTGCATTCACACTGCAGAGCATGTTTATTTTCCCATTTTTAATAAATATAGAGGCTGGGTATGGTGTCCACCTGTAATCCTAGCTCATGATGTAGAAGGATCACTGAAAGTTCAAGGCCAGCCTGGGCTACAAAATGAGTTCATGCCAGACTGAACTGCATTGTGAGATCCTTTCTAAAAAACAAAAACAAAGTAAAACCTTCCTATGATTAAGCTTGTTTTGTCCAATTCCTTCTTCAGAACAAGAAGAACCTAAAAAGACTCTAGAAGGACTCCCCAGCACTCCAGAACCCCAAAACAAAAATGGCCATAATTGCTAAATTGATACAGATTTATTTTTATTTTACTTTTTAAAATGTATTTGGTTGTTACAGAGTCTCACTATGCAGCTCAGACTCATGGCGATCCTCCTGCTTTCAGTCTCCCCAGCACTAGGATTATAGGGGTATGCCACTACACCCAAACTCTGGTGGCTCAGCCTGCCCTGGGGGCAGGGCTAGAGTAGCATGTGGTGCCAGGGATCGAACTCGGGTCCGGGCTCCTGCCTAAGCTTGCCTAAGCAGGTGCTTTAGTCTGTGGAGCTATCTTGCCAGCCCTGTTATAGATATAATGCAATGTCAAACAAAATACCAATCACCTTCCTCACAGAATTAGAGAACAGTCTTAAAATTCATAAGGAACTAGAAGAGAGCTAGAATAATGAAAGCAACCCTGGGTAATAAGAACAAGGCAAGAGGAATCACAATCCCAGACTTCACATTATAGTACAAAACTACAGTGATAGAAACAGTATAGTACTGAAACCTCTCCCTCCCCAAACAACTCCAAGTATTCACCTACCTGAATTTTGACACAGGGGCCAACAACACTATGAGGGAAAGAGCCTTGTAACAAATGGTGCTGGGGAAGCTAGCTGTCCCCATGCAGAAGATTTAAATCTAGATCTCTAATTCTTATCATACACTATACTAAAATCAAAATGGGTTAAAGATCTAAATATTAAAATAGAAACAATCTGCTGGTAGATAAAATAGGTAATACTCTTGACACAGGAGTATGCAAGGACTTTTTGAACAGAGCTGCAATTTAACAAGAAATAATAGTGAGGATCACAAATGGAATTATAAAACATTAAAAAGCTTCTGAACAGCAAAGAAAACCAGCAAAGTAAAGGAACAACTTACAGAATGGGAAAAAAATATTGCCAGCTATTCCTCTGACATGACTAGTATCTATTTTTTTTTTAAAAATGTATTTAGTACAGGGTCTCACTACACAGATCAGACTTATAGTAATCCTCTTGTTTTCAGCCTCCCAAGCGCTGGGATTACAGGTGCACGCCACCATGCCCAGTCTTAGTATCTAACATATATAAAGAACTAAAAAAAAAAAAAAAAATTAGACCTTCCCAAAATAAATGACCCAGTCAAAAAATGGGCAACTTGGGCTGGCCAGATAGCTCAGCAGATTAAAGTGCCTGCTTAGGCTGATGCAGCAACTGGGCTTGACTCCCAGGCATGCCATGCTGGCCCTGCCCCTGGGGTGTGCTGAGATGGCAATTAAGACTGGGCATGGTGGCATGTGCCTGTAATCCTAGCTCCTGAGTGGCTAAAACCAGGAGAATCACTACGAGTCTGATCTGTGCAATGAGACCCTGTACTAAATACAAAAAAAAAAAAAAAAAAAAGGTAACTGGAACAAGCCCACACTTCTCAGAAGAAAATACAAATGACCAATGAATACATGAAAAATGTTCAGCATCTCTGGGCACTAGAGAAACACAAATTAAAACAACACTGAGTTTCTTCTTTATTCCAGAAAAAATGGCTATTGTTAAGAAATCAGAGAACAAATATTTGTGAGGATGCAGGAGGAAAAAAGGGATCCACTTACATTGTTGGTAGGCATATAAATGAGTACAACCATTATGGAAATCAGTATGGAGGTTCCTCCAAAAACTAAAACAAATTCCATCTGACCCAGCTGTTTTCCACTTAGGTATCTTTCTGAAAGAATTAAAGACACCATATTACAGTAATGTATGCATATATCTACATTTATAGCAGCATAAGCCATTACAGCTAAGTCTTAGAAGCTGCTTGTCTCCATCCATCAACAGATGGATTAAAAAATGTGGTATTTATAGATACAATGAAGTACTACTCTTCCATAAAAAAAGATAAACATTACTCACTTGTAGGAAAAATGGATGCTCCTTGAGACCACATGTTAAGTGAAATATATCAAGCACACAAGCTGAACTATTACATGGTTTTTCTTCTCTGAATATATTTATAGTTTTTCAAAATACAAAAAGCAAAAAGAAGGGGAAAAAGCTCTGATACTTTCCTGCACCTGGCTCTGCAGGAATGCATCCACTCTCTCGAATGGGAGACCTGGACTAATGTGAACTTGTCCAGCTAACAGCTCATGAACAGTGATGCTAAGCAGTTTTATTCGCTGCTGATAAATGCTTAGAGTGTGTCTAGCAGAGCACTTTCTGGGACACACAGAAAAATGAGAGGAAGCTGCCATACAGTAGGCCAAAGGAAGAAGTCAGAGGGGAGTCAGCGTAGGGAAAATGAAAAGACCTGCCAAAAATGGCTTCACTGCTCTGGCCGAAGTAAATGTCCTTGTATGAACATCTAGATTCAAAGATAAAGCACATCACACAGGCAGAGAGCATTTAGAAAAAAATACTTCTTAGTTTATCCTTTATTCTCACTCAGAGACTGAAAAGCTGCTCAGCAGTTTGCCATATAAACGTAAGTCAACTAGATCACATAAAAACTCTAAAGGTAGAAAATGCAAAACTCAACTCCTGCCTTTACCTGCCTCTCAGCCCAGAATCACAGCTAGTCATAAAAAACCCCGTGTCTAAAGATACACTTTTAGCTGGGCATGATGATACATGCCCATTATCCCAGAACTCAAGAGCCTGAGGCAGGAAGGTTGCCACGAGTTCAAAACCAGCCATGCAGTTATTTAATGTGAGAAGAAAACATTCAATCAAATGTTGAGACTCTCAGGCAAAATTAAAAGAAGCCAGATACCATCTTAAACCCTCCTCTATTGCCTGTCACTTCCACAGAGGCTTTCATACCTCGTTGCTGGTCCACCCAAAGCTGTCAGTGAGGTCGGCTGTGGATGCGGCTCCCTGGTCTAAGAGCAGAAGCTGAGCAAACAGGCGTTGCAACTGCAAAGGAATGATTCGAACCTGGGCGAGAAACAATGCATTTGTAAATGAACTTCTGTAAGCAGCAAGTGAGGCTTTTTAAACGATCTGTGTATGTTTTCATGTATTTCCTAGTTCATTTAGGGTAAAGTTTGTTTAATTTCTTATTAAAAAGGGAGAATTAAGATTCAGTTCTTTGAAAAGTCTAATTCAATCTAAGAAATTTTAGTTATCTAGTCTCCTTCCTTGACATATTCCAAATCAACATCAAAACTCAAACGACCCTAACAACCCACTGGAATGATCATAGGCAGCAGTTAGAATCTGTAACAGTTCATTTTTTTCTAAAGTATTTCCAGTACATATTCCTAAAGATAAATGAAAGAATTTTCTTCTAAGCACACAGCTCTCACTCAGGAGCCAGGCCCTTTCACAGGGCTAGCTGCGTCTTGCCTCTCTCCTGGCTCCAGGCTGTCCTACTGCTGCCCTACTCAAGATGAGGAGGGCAGGAGACAGGGTAGGGGTGAACAACGCTTCTCGGGAGCTGGTTTGCAGGCCAGCCTTCTAATGACTGAAAGGGAGGATGAGCATTTAGAAACTTTTTTGGTCATTTTAGGTTTTCCCAACATTTAAGAATATATAATAAAAACACTGATCTGCAACAGATTGGGAAGGAAAAAATAATGCACAAAGACCGATCCTTTGCCACATAGTAGGCTGCATCATGAAATATTGTTAAGAACAGAGTTGAACCTGAAAATGACAAGCTCTCTGAATTAGATTTAATCAGGCTTGGGTATGATCAGAACTGCAATTTAAACATAATTTCATCATAGTACTATATAAATTAATAAACTAATTCCTTATTCAATGTATTCCTAGAATACTAAACTGAAAGGGTTGGTTTCTAAGGATGCCCTGCAATCCCATACTGTCTTAAATTAAACAGACAATATATTTTGGTAGGTTAGTGTGAATGATTTAAAATACCATCATCAGAACAATAAACACAGAGTGAGATATGTTCATAAAACAGTAGCAACATGATGTTTGGATAAGTAATTCATTTTAGAAGAACAATATCATTGTTAATAGAGTACATGCCAAGTTACTTTTTGAAAATATTTGCTAATAAATAAAATTACTGTTTTCTATGAACAAGGAACTTAGTTCCTCCCTTAAAAAACACCTTCTCAATATTCCCCCCCAAAAAACCCATAAATCACCGATGTAATACCTTTGCACCAGGCTCATCCTTGTCCTCTAAAGAACCAAGCTCTTCTGGACCAAGAGAAAATAAAGCTTCTAAACAAAAAGCAGAATCAGAGATGTGAGTGACAGGGTTTCATTTCAACTATTTAGAAAGCCAAGATTGCCATTAAGCAAAATTAATGATTCAGAAATATGACTGTGAGAATATTTACACCCTTAATCTACAAACTTTGCTTTCTCTCTTCTTTTTTTTTTTTTGGCAAACTGGGGATTGAACTCAGGAAAATGTTCCTAATGGTCACCAGTGATTTTTAATTTCCTTCATATTTTGTACTTTTTTTTGGTGGAACCGGGGATTGAACTCAGGCCCTTGCGCTTGCCAGGGAAGTGCTTATTTCACTGAGCCATCTCCCCAGTCCAAACTTTGCTTTCATTTAACATTTTTACCTATGGAATGTCACAAAATAAAAGTGGCTAGGGTTTTAGTATGGGAGATCCACAAGAGGATTATTAGCTTATGAACATAATCTATGAATAATAACATCAAAACCCTTTGCTTCCCATTGCTTATGGTAGTGGGCCCCCAAAACCATGAGGAATTGGAAAATATTAAAGTATTACAGGTGTGCATTTTAACTCCACATGTGAGACTCCAGCTAGCTTTTCATGGAATGGAACACCTTCTACCAAGCAATTGTGCCTTTCCTCTTTCTGGTGTGAACAACCTCCTCTGTGGTAAAGTTAGTAACAAATAGATGGTAGTGCTCTTACCCTATGAAAAGCTGCAACACTGTGCCAACTGCCAGGAAATTTTTTATACTCCAGAATGTAGATTCATCACTCGAGAAGGCACATTGAACTGGGCATGGTGGCACTTATCTACAGTCCCAGCATTTGGGGGGCTTACACAGGGAATACTCAAAGTTCAAGGCCAGCTTGGGCTACATACTGAAAGCTGCATGGCAAGACCATGTCTCAAAATCCAAAAAAGTCTCCCCCAAACAAAAAAGCAAATCTGAATTTTTGGGAGGACATGTGTAATCCAACCCAGGAATATCTTTGGGAAGACTTTGATACACTGCATGGAGACCAAGAGAGGATGGGTGTATCTTTTGATTAAAGTCATCACTGCCCTAGCAGTTACTATTACCAATGTTCAATCTCTGGCTAAGTGCTAAGACTGGACAAAAATGAATTCTGGATTTATAGCTTAGAGTAAAAACATGCAAGGATTTTCACAACCATCTCCCAGATGGAGAGTACTGAACTCATAAGCAAATCCACTCCAGCCTTACTCCTTGAAGTTTTTTTCTTTCCCAGCGTTCTGCCTGACTGTATCCTTTCCAAATTATACCTTTCCTTCAAGAGTATACATCCTGTCAAACCACATGGTTGGCCACAAAGGGGAGGCTAGCCCATGGCTCTATCCTACTCTTGGCCTCTGGTACTCTCCACAGTCTGTCTCGTTCCCTCACCTTCTTTCTCATTCTCTTCCTGGGCTACTTTTCTACTTCACGTTGTGCTTTCACATCAACCATATTAAAACCTGGGAAGAGCTTATTTCTTCTTGGGAAACTTTTTTGATGTTGAAACTGCTAAAAGTGGGATAACTGACTGTGTCAAGGACATAGTTTTATGGAGGATAGTCAAGGACAAGATGTACTACTTTACTGAGCCATCTCCTTGGGCCCCCCAAAATTTATTTATTTATTATTTATTTTTGTGGAACTGGGTGTTGAACTCAAGCCCTTGCACTTGCCAGGGAAGCACTTATTCTACTGAGAAGATGTACTACTTTAAAGCCCATATAAAGTCCAATGCATTAGAATGGCCCTGAGGAGACAATGGTGAATACTCCTTATTATCTCTAAAGGGAGAAGCCTTTGTAAGCTTAGAAACAATGGAAGACACAACAATCTGATACTCTGGGCAGTGACTGGAAGGGAACGTGGGAATGTGGCCCTCAGATATAGGATACCCACTTCTATCCTGAGAAGAAAGACAATGTTCAGGGCTATCAGCTACAAGGTCACCTAACACTGGGGCCCCCAAACAGTCACATAAGGCTAACAGCCAAGTACCGCTCACACTGCACTGAAAAGAACATGGATGCTAAGACTGCTGTGGAGGAAGTTGCTTTGCAAAAAGGGGGACGAGCCAAAATGAAGAGAAATGGGAAAGAAATCAAGGGTTCAGTGAAGTCAGACTGACTTCTTGCAGTGTTTCTGGGAGAGTTCTCTTATCCTCACGACAATGCTTTTTAAATATGGCTCAGTTTCTGTTCTTTGTACACAGTCCTTACCTGAAGTCCTCGAGTCTTTGGAATTATAAAGTTTTAGATTTTAAAAAGTAATGTGAAAGTGTTACACCAGGTCAGGATGTCAAGCTAAACTAGTCCAGGTCAGAAAAGGTTAAGGCCCTAGCTTTCTGGACTTCAGAAATGCAAATGAACAATTTTAGATGTGTATAAATAATGTGAGCCCCCCTCCCACCCCAAAGGTCAGAATATAGTTCTTTTGGTAATCCTAGGCTAGGTGTCAGTTCCTTAGCAGGAAGTTTTAAACGAAGAAAATACAAATATTCAAATGACATGATACTTTACTTGGAAGATCCAAAAAACTATACCAAGAAGCTACTAGAATTAATACACAAATGCAGTAGCACAGGATACAAAGTCAACACCCAAAAGTCAATAGCATTCCTTTATGCAGATAACAAATACACTGAGAGGAAAATTAGAGAAACAATACCTTTTATAATAGTACTGTGGAAAATGAAATACCTTGGAATTCATCTAATTCAAGAAGTAAAAGATCTATTCTATGAAAATTACAGCACTCTGAAAAAACAGATCGTAGAGGATTTCAGAAAATGGGAAGATATTCCCTGCTCCTGGATAGGAAGAACCAACATTGTGAACATGGCCATACTTCCAAAATTGCTGTACAGATTTAATGCAATCCCTATCAGACTACCAAAAACATACCTCCTGGACCTAGAGAAATCATTCCTAAAATTTATTTGGAACCAGAAAAGACCTAGAGTAGCAAAGGCAATCCTGGCCAACAAAGACAAGGCAGGAGGTACTACAATTCCTGACTTGAAATTATACTACAAGGCTACTGTGATAAAATCAGCATGGTATTGGCAACAGAATAGACCTGAGGATCAATGGAATAGATTAGAAGATGCAGATGCAACTCCAAACACACTCAGCCATCTTATCTTGAACAAAGGGGCCAAACATGCTTACTAGAAGATAGCCTCTTTAACAAATGGTGCTGGAAAAACTGGCTCTCTACATGCCGAAAACTAAAACATGACACAGGTCTATCACCATGCACTAAGCTAAAGTCAAAATGGATTAAAGATCTAAACATTAAAACAGAAACACTAAATCTCCTGGAAGAGAAAGTAGGAGGAACTCTTGAAGACATGGGGGTAGGCTAACAGTTCATCAACAAAAATCAAATTGCACGGGTAATACTTGAAAGAATTAACAACCGGGACCTCCTTTTTTTTTTTTTTTTTTTTTTTTTTTTTTTGGAACCAGGGATTGAAATCAGGTCCTTGCGCTTGCCAGGGAAGCGCTTATTCCACTGAGCCATCTCCCCAGCCCCCACTGGGACCTCCTCTTATTGAGAAGTTTTTGCATGTCAAAAGAAATTACCAACAAAGTGAAAAGACAACCCCTAAATTTTGAAAAAATCTTAACTAATAAGCACTCAAAGGTCTACTTTATAGAATTTATAAAGAATTAAAAAACATTAGGGCCCCAAAATTTAAAGACTCAATGCAGAAATGGGCATCTAACATGAACACACACTTCTCAGAGGACGAAATTAAAGAAGCAAATAAATATATGAAAAAATGCTCCACATCACTAGTCATCTGTGAAATGCAAATTAAAATATCATCTTACTCCAGAAAGAATGGCTATCATAAAGAAATAACAACAAATGTTGGAGAGGCTGTGGGGAAAAAGGAGTCCTTCTCCACTGCTGGTGGGAGTGCAGAATGGTGCAACCATTATGGAAATCAGTGTGGAGACTCCTTAAAAAACTAGGACTAGAAACCTCATGCTAACCAGCTATGCCCCTACTGGGCATTTTCCCAGAGGAACTAAAAATGTCCTATCAGAGATATATGTGCACCTGTGTTTATAGCAGCACAATCTGTGATAGCAAAATCCTGGAAACCAAAATGCCTGTCACCTGAGGAATGGATGAAAAATATGTGGTATTTTTATACAATGGAGTATTACCCAGCTATAAAGAATGATAAACTCGAAGACTTGATATTAAAGTGGATGCCTCTTGAAGATATACTCGTAAGTGAAAGAAACCAGACACACATGTGTAAATATGATATAGTTTCCCTAGTATAAGAACTCAAAAGAAGAAATAAAAAGAGAAAGGTATAACACAATTAAAAGGAAAGCGAGAACTTAAGGATTAAACAACGAAGACAAGGCAAGGAGAAAAGCTAGGAAACATGATAGGGGCAAAACCATACATTTGTATGCACAAGATGGTTAAGGCAATAATCCTGAGAATCTTCAACAGGTTTTTGAAACTAGCAGTTAATTGGCAAGATTCTCACCCTGACATAATTATATATGCTGATACCTGTGAACTAAGCAACCGCACTGAATAGCAATGTGTAATACTAGGATCATGCTTGGAATGCCTGTCTTTCTGGTCTCCTAAATACGTATTGCTTGTCATGTCACATCAATTACTGCTGTACTGTCTCTCAAGTAAATGTTTCTTTTTTTTTAAAAAAAAAAAAAGTATAATAAGTGAAAACAACAGATAAGAAAAATGTTACAGAACTGTCGGGCTACAATGCTGTGTAAGGTTAGATTTCTAAATTTCTGTGTAAAATATGTAATTGCTTATCCCAATTTTTTAAAATAAATATTTCTTTTTTTTTCTTCACATTCTATAAGGATTTAAAGTTTAACATATCAATACTTGATGGAAAATACCTGTTCCATGCTATGTCTAAGATGTTTGATATTCAAACACATAGTGAGGTTAAGCTCAAGTGCCTCTGTTACAGGATAAAAATATCATTAGGCTTCTCTTCTGAAGGGTTAACAACTTAAGTTTGTAGACCAAAAAATCATAGAGAAAAAGAAGGTCTACAAGGACAGCCAACATTTTGGCTTTAGTCTTTCAAGGTCAGTGAAGACTCAGGACATAAGAGAACCTGTATTGTAACATCCTGTAAATCAGCAATGTCCCAAACTTTCTGATCAAGGAGATTATGGGGCCACAGAGGAAAGTGATCGACGATGTAGAGTGTGCTGAAGGAGAGTCACATGGAGAGAAAACATTCTCTCAGGCTTTTACACAGAGTAAACTGGTCAAGCAATGGCCGTGACTCAGCCACATGACTGACACTCACAAAGGATCCACAACCTTCGGTACAGGGTTTCAGGCTAAATCCTGAGGGGATTTGACTGACCTTGTCAGATACAAAGGTTACATTTCTTGTTATATAGGTCTTGCTTTATCTTGGTCTTAACCATTCAGCAGAAAAGTATAAATATGTTGAGCTGTAAAAGGCTCGAGTCAACAACTTCTGACATTGCTAGTCCTACAGATAACCCAGTATTATTATGGACTACCGAAGTATATTAGATTATTTTGTGGAATTCATGCACCTACAATATTTAAATGGCAATGGAATACCCATCTCTGACAAAACAAAAAAAGGGGATATAAATGATCATTTTGTATCTGTATATACAAAATAGGATATACAGCTTTCTCTTAATTGAATGAGAAGAAAGATTTGTACTAATAGTTTGGACAGGATATCACGTCTGCATCTTGTACTATGAATAACCAGTACGAAGGCAACAATATGGAATGTATTAATTATAATATTTTTTCTCTCTTCATAAGTTTTTTCCCATAATTTTACTGAGAAACAAATAGCAATGAGACAGTTTCAAATCAAATTAGTAGGGCAGTTTCAATAATTAATACACTGCATATCGTTTTCTTAGTGGTTATTCACTGTACATGATGCAGACATGATATCCTGTTTACAAACACTTCTAGAACAAATCTTTCTATTCATCAAATTAAGAGAATGTAGCTGTATATCTATCCTATTTTGAATATACAAATACAAAATGATCCTTCATTTGTATCCTTTTTTTGTTTAGTTTTGTCATTTAAATATTATAGGTATGTAAATTCAGCAAGAAACTGCTTTATTAATTGGTTTTTAAACTGTCTCACTGCTATTTCTCATTAAAATTAATTAAAAAAAGAAACTATCAATACAGTAACAATAAGGTCTGGTACTTATAATTGCCTTTGTTGTATTTCAAATTATAGAAATTAGAAGAGAAATATATTGCCTTATTTTAAAATCGTTACTAAGCACTACTCTAGTCACACGGAATATATTTAAAAGAATTTAAGCTTCATATTTCTCTGCAGGAAGATCAACAATTTGTCTCACATTTGTAGCAATGAACACTGTGGAATACATATTCAAGAGACTATGATTTGTATCACTGACTACAGGTAGAGCCGACTGGTACATATTACTATTCAAATGCATGTAACATCAGCATACCTCTGAATTCAGGTGTGAAATGAAGAGTCTGCAGAAGGGAATTGAGGTAACACGTTCCACCCTGATTAATGATTCCACTTAAATTGGTGAATTCTCTAGGAGCAGGAGGCTCCAAAGGTTTAGGTTTTAGTTTCTTCCCTTTTCCATTCTGATTATTTGACACACTGGAGTAATCTTCTTCAAATAGGTCCCCAAACATTGTGAAATTAAATACTGCCCTTTAAAACAAAAGTTACACAAATATAAATGCTTTTGGGTTTTTAAGATGTTTCCCCATATCTTCCTTATATTTGGGGATATCTTTTGTAAACTATTTAGAAAATACATAAAGTACAGTAGTTTATTTTGGAGGCATCAAAATCTGAACTTTTTTCATCCCTACCAGTTACCATTCTAACTAACCTGTGTGACCCTAGGCAAGTTAAGTATTTTCTTAGTATAGGTAAGTGACAGCACACATCCCCTTGAATCACTTACAGTCAACTTAACAGAAAGGCACCTGCTGGGGGTGGTGGCACACGCCTGTAATCTCAGCATGCTTGGCAGGCTGAGGCAGGAGGCCCATGTGAGTTCTAGGCCAGCCTGGGCTACACAGTGAGTTCAAGACTAGACTTTTCTATATACCAAAACCCTGTCTCAAAAACAAATACACAAAAGTCTCCACCTAAAACAAAGGCACTTATACACTGGGTTTGGGCCACCATAAGTGTCAGACTGTAAAAATGGATGTTCACATCACTAATAAAAGAGACGCCCCCCCCAAAAAAGAGAAAACCCATCATAAAAGCTACCCCATTGAGGGGATGGTAAAACCAATACTCGCTTCCAAGAGGACAGAGGCCTTCGGGCTATCATTCACTAAAATCTCTGCTTCTCACCCATCCGTACCTCCTACTAGATTATGACATTTAAGTGAATTCAATGTATCCAACTCATCTTTATGCGGTTTAGTACCCTGCTCCCAAACTACAGAGCCCGGAGGAGGCTCCTCAAGAAAGCCTCGCTGTGCTCTGGGGATGTGACTAGTAGCACGCGGAAACGAAAGCAGGAAGCCCCGGGCAGGGCAGTCTGTGGCAGGAGGCGCTGGCTTGGCATTATTTTCAATTTAGTCCTCAGAAGACGGGCACAGAAATGGAACTCGAGTCTGGCCTCGAGCTCGTGGTCTGGATGCCCGTCTTCTTCATTCCACGGCCGAGGCCCGGGGCCCCCAGCCCACCACGCCACCCCCAGCTCCGGGAGAGCGCTGACCCTCGCGCCCGAGCCCTCTGAGCCGGCGCCAGGGGAGCGCCGCGTCCGCGGACAGGCCCGGCCGCCCCGCGCCTCGCCTCAGCAGGCCGTACCGCCGGCGCCGTCCTCACGCTTCCCAAGTCCCTCCCGAAATCCCCTGCCGTCGCCCCACTTACAGCCTAAAGCCCAGAACCCCGCCCCGGCCAAAACGCAAAGCAGAGGGACGCGCCCCAAGTGGGTATTGCCATGTCCATGAGGGCGGGTCTGAGAAAGCGCTTTCCGGAGTCCAGATTGTGCTTCCCAGGGTGCCCTGCGACAGCGCCGGCCTGGCGCGCGGGGCCTTATGGGTAATGTAGTTCCTCTCATGTTCGGGTTTCTTGTCAGTCACCTGGAGATGTCAGTTTTATATTTGCTGTTCGCAATCCATGCTGCTTGGAATTGGTTATTTAAAGATTGGTTGTTTGAGGCATAGCTGACTTTCGATTCGCCTAATCATGGTTTACCAAGCACCTTAAAGACATTTTTCCAAGTGTATTTCCAGGAAAGTGATGAATTAGAGACTCTCGAACATTCCACATTCTCCTGAACCTCTGTACCTTCCTCGGTGTTTGTTTCATCACTACTAGGGTAAAAAGCATTTATAAAAGTTCACTAAAACTATGTATTATGTACATGTACTACGTCCTCCAGGATGAACGTGGTCATGTACTACCAACATGCACTAATAAAAAAATAGAAAACAAATGCACTGAAACAAAATTACCTGAAGATCCCACTGTCCTGACCACAACAAATGTTATTTTTGAAAAATCATTACATGTAGTTAAGTTGGGTTTCCTATGTCTCAAACACAGTTTTTAAGTTATTAAAATGTTCTTTGCTTTTTTTTTTTTTTTAAAGCTTGACTAAAATGAAAGGTTTTGTATTTTATCAAGATAATTTCGGGCCCGTGAGATAGCTCAGCAGAATAAGCACCTGCTTAGGCAAGCACAGGAATGGACTGGATCCCCAGAACCACATGCTACACTGGTCCCACCCTT